AATGACTTAATTAAAGCTTTTGATGAATTTGAGATGATGTCTATAAATTAGCATATATGTATAAATATTAGCCTATATATGTATAAATATAAATATTAGTTTGATATACTTACATCGAGTAAATCCATTAGTTGATTTTGGCTATGCAATTTACGAGCTCGCTTCGGCAAACCAACATCCACAATATCACCGTTGGCTAGAGCGTGCTTATAGAAACACTTGTTGCCAAAAGGACATTTTCCTTCGCCTTTCTTGAAATATTTGCAATCCTTGGCACCGAGAGCCGCGCGATAATCATTAAGCAGTTTGTCCTTTTCCTCCTTAGTTTCAACCCAATAAGCGCTGGGACAAACAAAGTCAGAACAGACACGACATTCGGGGCAAGCTCTGAAATGTAGAGTGCAATATAAGTATGTTGAAAAAAAAAAAAAAAATCGCTAGCATTTACTATAMTCAAATATCTAATCTTACCGCGTAATTTTATGCTCAAATTGTTTCGCTTGTCGCCATGTACGGATGCACTCCAAGCAAAAGATATGATTACAGTTGGGTAGAATACCAAAACGTTTCTCTCGACCAGCCTTTTCCATTATGGTATCAAAGCAGATGCCACACGTCTTATCCTTTGACTGGGCAATCGCAAATGATAATTCCATTGCCTGTTCGTGCTGMTGCAAACATTCACGTTTATGTTTCTTGCGTTGAGCTTGGTCCGTGGGATGCAGGCAATATTGGTCGCACATCTCGCATAGTTCCATATGTATGCGATAGGGACAATACTCGCCATAAGGACATGGACTCTCATATGGACAAATCTCCTCCAAAGAGTTCGGCTCACCATGTTTAAAGACAACGTCCATGTCATTCGTGGAAGGACCACCAACAATCTCCGCATATGAGATCCCACTTTGCACAACGGCACTGCTAGTAACCGAAGCCGCAGCTTCGTCTTCAAGATGATTGTCCTTTAGGCATTGGGCTATGAAGCTTTTCTGGCCGGGCACAAAGATCGGCGCATTTGCCCAATTGCGTCGACTGGTGCTAGGGAATACATCAGCATCAGCTTCCACATCCACATCCGCTTCGGCACCGGTGTTTGAATTTGTGTTGCGGGCACGCTGCTCACCTTCAGGTTGGCCTAGCGTTAAATCATGAGAGAAGCGACAAAGGTCACCGAATCGACAAATGCCTCGTAAATAATATCGGCATATCGTTTGGCTTCGTCCAGGTAAATTGTTTAAAACAGGAGCTTCTGCGACGCTGGCGGAACTCATTTTGCGCTTGCAAAAGTTTGTACAGATGATCTGACCAAACTAGACGTTCTGACCTGAAACACTCACAAATTTGATTATATCCTCGATAAACTCGACCTATCGATATACATGGGTACATGTGTGTTCAAGTGTCTACATATGTATGCATATATAGAGCAAACACAATTAAGATGTCGCAATAACTCCTCTTTTTGCGTTTTACGAAACTTGATTTTTAATAGGTACAATATATATATATATATATACATACATACATATATACATACATATGCATATATATATA